TTTCAAAATATGTGATTATTTCAATATAGATGAAGCTTTGCCCCCTCCATGATGGAAGAGGTCCAGTATAACCAGTCTGCCATCAGACAGCTGGTTCAAACCCTGGGAAAGCGAGCCATATCAAGAACTCAATGTTGTTTTCTACTCTTGGCAAATTAGGCACTTAACAGTAGTGTCGAAATGAGCCTTGGTTAAGGAGAGGTCCAGATTGTTGAGCACATGCAGAGCCTGCATCCTTACTGCCATGGCCATTTTGTTCAAGGGCCCGTTGAACAAGCCCTGGATGACTGGGTAAGAGGCTGGTTGACAGCCACAGATAGTGCCATTTTGTTCTCCTGATTATTAGCAGTCTCTCCTGCAATGGATACATTAGCGTGCATCAGAATGCAACACAGATACCTTCCCAGTGTGTGCCCATTTAGAGAAATTGATCTATATACTCTTCCCCACACTTCCTTGTCACCAGTCTTCCAATCTTATTCCTTCCAAGTCCCTGTATATCTAGAAAAACTGTTAGCAATTGCCCATTCTGGTCACCCCTCGCTCTAGACTTGGTGCACAAACAAATATACTGTTCTAATTATGCCCCCTTGGGAGATTTTCCTTTACCACTGACTGTCCTTCAGACCCTTGAGTGGGCAAAGGGATCCATCTGTGCTGTAGGAGGCAGATTCTAGAGAAGACTTCCGTGCTTCAGGAGCCTGTCCAGGGGATAACACTGGAACCAGGAAGCAAAACACTTTCCTACTTCAGTGTCTCTCCAGCCTTTTCTACTGATAAAACTTAACATTCTGATAGCTAGCAAACAAGAATATTTAAAGGATCAAGATCCATCTTCACAAAGCAGACACAAGGTGAATTTGGCAGTGGGAGTGACAACTCCATTTCAATACAGTTGCCCCAGTTTAGCTCAGAAATCCGCCTCTCTGCCAATCATTATCACTACGGCAACTCCCATTAGGATGCACATTGGATTGGAGAAAGGTAAAGAGTATGCATAGTTCCCCAAATAAGAGGTGAGAGTACTCTTATCAAAGGAAGAGAGGTGTTCTGAGCTGACAAAAGGATACATGTTTCCTACATGTTATCCTTTGGCTGTTCAGTGCACATATGCATACACACACGTGCACACACACACACACACACACACACACACGCTGGTTTTTACATACCTATAGTTTCTCTTAACATAAAGCAACTATACCTTATGTAATTGAAAATGTGCTTAATTCCTGTGCAGTGGGAGGGGAAAACTCAAAGTCACATCCAGCCCAAATTCAGGATCTTTAAGTGTAGTCAGTCTTGATAAGGTTCCCCATCTAGCTAAACAATAAATAATGCATTTTTCCCCAATGCACAAATATATAATAGAGGGGATGGGGAAAAGGATAACAAAAACTAAAAAGAAAGGGCAAAAAGGAGACTCACTGTGCAAAAGTTGAGCATATACTGCATCCTGTTGGACAAGAATAAAGGTAAGAAGGGCTTCTCTTCTCCAGCAGAGAACTAAGATCTTTGGTCAGCCACTCTAAGTGTCGAGATTTCCTTTATCTATTATCCTCAAAGACCCTTCCTTACAGGAGTAGTGACAAGGAGTTTCCAGGGACCGCTCTGGCAACTGTTGTCATCTCTTTGCTGATACCAAGACTGGGATGTTGTCTTAGACACGCACACCAGTAGAGGCCTTTTGCAAGGACAAAGGCTTTCTCGCAATCCCTTAAAATTTCCTTGGCTATCTGTCAATGTCATTTGGGGGAAATCCATTAGGTTGTTATCAGAAATCTCATTGAGACAGTAAGCTTGAGTAGGTACTTTGCCCTTCTTGTTTCTATCTCTTGGAAACTGGCCTAGCAACTCTGTCAATCACCCTGCATCTTAGTTCACTGTCTTTGCCACAGACTCTATCCATGACAGGGAGAGAAACAGGCTGGGATTGTAAAGGCAGGTTACAGCTTCAGACTCTATCCCCTAATTTGTGCACCATTCAACTGGAATAATGGGAGAAATTACTTTTAGTTGGTAAGGGGGGCACAGTGGAAGATATTTGAGAAGAGTGGTGAGGAATGAGATACCCCTGACTCCACTGCCTTGCTGGGGATCTACATTCCTGGTTAGTGTATGAACCTTATGGGGGCAGAAATTTTAGTTGTTTCAATTGGCAGAGTAGATACTATATAATCATGATCAGTAAATCCACTGGCAGAAAGGACTCCTCTTAACAGCTACATAAGTATCATCCTGTATCACTGCTCATCTTTTTCAGAATGGCTCTACTGAACCATTTGTCTGTCTCATAGCACTAAGGGAGCAAGAAGTAGCCAATATATTCCAATAGGATGATTTTTTAAATACAAAGTTAAAGCTAGAAGCCTTAGTGGGCATAGCTAACTGTTGTGAAGGATCACTGTTTGTCTGATTGTTTTTAGTTAGCAACCCAATGCAGGCAAATGCTTTCGTAAATATAAAACTGCATGCTTAGATTCCATGTTAGTGCCAAATTACTAGAAGTTTTGAAAGTCTCCTCTCAATTTCTATAACTATTTCATTGCTGATTTCACTGCAGTTTGCAAACTGGCTTTGGTTCATACACCACATTTTAAGTAGTACTGATCTAACAGATAAATATCACTATTTTCCCAGCCAACTTATCAATTTCTGTGTTAATGGAGAGTCTTGGTTTGGAACATACACTGTATATTCTAACCTCACCTACCACCTGAATAATGAATGATATTATAATCTTACCGGGCACCTAAATAATGGAGCATATTCTAAGACCAATGAAGCCCACAGACTGTATCTCATTGCCTTACTTCTTTTATCATGTGAATTCCTTGGTCAGAGGAACAGTGTATGGGCTAATGTGGCAGTGTACGGACATTCAATAGGTCTATGGAGAATGGTGCTTGCAGCAAAACCAAAATCCATTTCCAGAATGTGGAACCGTTGTAGTAAGACAAATCGTTGACTAATGTATGACAAAAAGGATTCCAAAGTAATTGACATGCTTTATACCAGGTTGCTTGCTAGTCCCCTGAAAGAAGTTGCCTCATAAAGACCTTAAAATTGGTCACCGCTGCAGGAAAATTGACTTTACAGCAATGGCACTGATCATCGGATTACGCCATTTCCCTTGCCATTCCCTTGGTAAGTCACGTTATGTTGCACATTATAACCCTTCACTTCTCCCAGCACTTGGAAGAAAATCCAATCTCTCTTCTATGTCTACAAGGCACTGAAGGTTTAAGGCCTTAGTCTCTCTCCAATTTCATTTCATGTCACTTTTTTCCTGGATTTGATCAGGATGCCCCATCCACCCTAATGCGCCAGCATAGCAAACTTTTAGCCTCTTGCTCCCTCTGCCGGTAGCACTATGAACATCCCTTTCACTCCCATCCCTTCCCGGTAACAGCGGATGTTACCTCCTAAAAGTCGTCTCCCCACTAACACACAGACATAACTTTCCAATCAAGCTTCTTGTTTATTTTCTTCACTTACACCTAACACAAGCTACAATTATTTTATATTATCCTAAAATAAGTTAGTACAGAAATTGAAACAAAATGGAAATTCCATAGATCTACAGGGCTTTTAAATGCTCAGATATTCTTCTGAACAGAGAGGGAAGCAAAAGATCAAAAGGCATTCTTTGAGACCCAGTAAATAATAAAATACCCAAATGGTCGCATACTCCCAAATCCCCTGAAGTCAGCCCTCCCCTTTTCTCCCAAAAGGACAGTGGCTTTACCATTTTTCATCCAAGAGTCACACCAATCAGAGGCCAGGTAACCCACGATCCCGCCTTGCGGCCTTTTATTAAATCAGAGCTGCCCCCGGCCTCAACCAGGGGCCAAGGCTTCTGACTACAGCAGCTGAGCTCGGGAACGGAGGCCCGTGCCTGCCTGAGAGTAGGGCTCCGGGGGCGTCTCAGGGTTCTGCACTGCCTGGCGCTCCCCAGGCCGTTACTCGAGTCTCGCTCCCGCCGGCAGCGTCTCTCAGGCCACCCCCCGAGGGCTCCTCTGGCCCCAGCGCGGCCGTTCAAACTGGCGGGTGTGCGCCTCCCGGGGTCCCCGGATCATTCCAGGGCTGCTTGGGTGCAGAGCCGTGGAAGAGTCTCAGCCCCCAGGGGCCCAGCTTGCCAGTGAGCGCCCTCCTACGCCCGCTGGTCTGAGCCTCGGCTGCACCCACGCTCCAGCCCTAGCCTGAAGCCGCTCTCTTCCCCGTCCATCCTTCCCGGATCTGGCTACACGGCGTGAAAGACTCTGAAGTGCTCGGGCTCCAAGGCGGAGCCCCGACCACAAACCCAAGTTGAGTAAGGAATAGCGAAGGGAGAGGCGACGGAAGTGTGACCTAAACTCCCTGCCCTATCTTTCTGTCTGTCCATCTATCCATCCATCCATCTATCCACCCCTCCATCCGCCATCACCGCCTATCGCTGTTATTTTAGGACCACAATTAGAATTCCTTAATGAAACCTTTATCGCGACGACGTACATGAACGCGTTTAACTGAAAAAGCGAAATAGGACTTTTTCAGACAGAAAATATCTTAGAAAATAAATTTTGTTGTTGAGAACTAGATTTGCTATGTTAAATAGTGGACCTTTAAGTTGAATGAGCTAACGAGAAAGTTCTATGGTTTTGACAAAAAAATTAAAGTCCTTTTATATTATACTGTATGCCAGGTATTACGTACTCATGTTTAAATATCAGCTAAAAATGTACAAAGATCACGCAGTTTTGTTTTGTTTTCCAAAATCTTTTTAGGTGGTCCTCAAGCAAAAAAAAAAAAGTCTAGCCCAATAGCAGTCCCCGTCCCCAATACCCGGACGTCGCCCAGCCAAGGAGCGGGAGGGGCCTGCTTTGAGGAGACCAGGAAGGAGGAAGGGAAAGTAGGGAAAGGGGCGGGGGGGTGGGGGGGAAGAGACAGGAGCAGTGAGAGCCGGAAATGACTGGCTAGCGAGGAACACAGGGGCACCCTGTCCGGCGGCGCTCTAGCCCCCGCGCGCTGTCTCTATGCTCCCCCTGCGTCTGGTCTATTTATTGTCGCGGGGAAGAAGCGGCCGCCCAGTACCCGGAACAACAAAGCAAGAAAGACGGAGCCCGAGCCTCGGGGGCTCCTAGCAACGGGCCGGGACGGGAGTTCCATGGAGACTGGGGAGCGCGCCCGCCTTATCATCATCCTTGTCCTCCAGCTTATCCTTCGCGTCCGACGTAACCGGCAGCAGCGCTGCCGCCGCGTTCTCTGCCGCCGCCCTCTCTTCCCACGGTAACCCCGGAGGCGACCCTGGGCGGGGGGAGCGCGGGCGATTGGGCGGCCTGAGTGCCGGGGCTGGTGTGTGCGAGCCCGGCCGTGCTGCGGGTGGGAGGTGAGGGGGCGGACGACCGGAGGAGAGGAACTAAGGTGGGGGCAATTGGTCCCGGGGCCGAGGGAGGGTCCACTTCTTAGGAGGACAGGGTGATATTTGGGGAGCTCATCAGGGATAACGGCGTGGGGGCGGGGCGTCCGTGCCTTCGAGCGTTATCAAGCAGGGTGTAGCATAAGAAAAGAGGTATTTTTATTTTTCGTGTTAGCCACCCCAGGGAAGGCAGGAGAAGGGTGATTTCCCCATCCTCCTCTGTGAAGCTCTCACCCGGAGGAAGAAGGATCGTGCAGAGATGCTAGGAGGTCCATTGCTTCCCGGAAAACTTCCAGCGGCCTGTGCCGCGGCGGGAAGGCTCCCGAATAGCATCTTCGCCGGTTCCTGGTGCTGGCAATGCCAACAGCCCGCTTTATTATTATTGTTATTAACCAAATTAGGTTTGATGAAGGGTCTGGAACTAAGGAAGAAAAATGAATTGTGGGTAGGGCTAAGCAAGGATGAGAATTAGGATAAGCGCTTAATGATAGCCAGTAAGAGCCCTAAAAGTAAATGTGTTTCGGAATGACGGTTTTTCAGACTCCTTCTGCGCTGATGTGCATCTGCGGGCTCTGTCAGTGTGCTCATTGCAATAAGACTCACAGTGCAGCTAGTCCACATCTGTGAGCTCTCTGGCTGCATCTGTCACCTGCAGTTCCAAAGCGACACCGGCAGTTAACCAGCGTGGGCTTGTGTATTTAGGGTTAAGAACAGTGCTTTAAAAAGGGCTCGAGGAAAAAAAAAGAAAAAGGAAACAAGCTTGCTGTGATTTTTGTGTGAAGAACCAATTACAGAATCCCTGAGAAAATTGAAAAAGAGAAATATAAGGAAAAATTTCAGCTATTGGAGCATAATCTGCTCTTAAAGTTTGAGAAAATGGCAGTTCATACAAATGGAGAAGGGATTTTTATCGCTATCTGTTTTGATGAATTATTCACAGTCGGCTACGTCCAGTTACATATTTATCAGCTTATATTACCTCTTTATGCTTTACATCTCTATTTAATGGTTTTATACCTTCCCAAATCATTCCAGGTCAGTAACTGAGGTTTCCCTATGGCATACTGAAAAGGCTACATATACCTATTAGAGAACATAATTTTTGTGTCCAGTGAGAATAAAGCTCTTTATATTAAATCGAGGATTAAAGATGAAAATAAAACTGATAAGTCATAGAAGCAATTATGTCAACCACAGCCTCTGTTTGTCTCCCACTTTTTTTTTTTTTTTTTGTTAAGTCTGGCTTGTCTTAAAATGTGTCATCCTTATTGCCAGCCCCCTCTTTTCATATTCTCTGCCTTCAAAATCAGAAACTGTAATGGTCTGCTACTGAGTGTTCTTGATTGGTTGACTGGTGCCAGAATAGAGCTTTTAACTCAGGCATTTTCATGGAATTGAGATGAATTGAGGTTCAGTGTCTCTTGTTCAAGGAAGTTCACGGATGTGCAAAGAGGTGAGCAGTTTCCTTTAATGGGAAGTATAAACATTGGGAAACTTAAAATTGCATTTTAGGACTCCTCAGTGGAAAAACACAGTATTGTCACCTTTAGGTTAAAGAATCAAGGATTGTTGTTTAATCTTTTCACAAAGCTGTTCTTCTGTGAAGGATATCCTGGGGGATGACCCCACTCGAGGCTGTTGGCTGTTGTGTCCCAAGATTTTCATAGTGTCTATGAAACTTAGGAAATTTCCTCAATCTCAGGGTTGCCATCACACTGACTTCACCCAGACCTATTTGTGTTCACCTCTGTCCCTTCTGTGTTAGAGTGGGGGTCAAGCCCTATCTTCCATCTTTAGTAACAGTCCCAGTTTCTGCATTCCCTGCTCTTTACTATAACATTTTCAGTGTTCGGTGGTGTTTTAGTTTCTCTCCTTATTTAATCATGTCTCAGTCAAAATGATTTTTTGTGCTATTTGTATTATTTGTTTCTTATGGAGTTTTCAACATATGTGGTTGGCCTATATATCTTTTTCATTAATGTTACTTTGTTGTACTTTCCTTCTGTATCCCTCCCCTTTATTTGGAGAATTGGAGTGGTCATGTCACATGTCTGTATTCATTCTATTTGTGCAATACAACAGGTTAAGAGCCTCATGCTGAGACTCAAAAGACTGTATTGAAATAAGGCATGTACAAAATGTTGTAACTTTGCAGAATTAAAGGTGTTTTTAGAAGTTCAAGGGGTAGTATTATAACTCTAGACATAGTCACTTTTTTAAAGGTAAGACAGTATTATAGATTTTACTGTGTGCTTTTAATTGAATCTCAGATTTTCATAATTCTTATTCTAAAAAAGTTTCCTTAACATCAGTCATTTCTGATTATTTTGCATGTGAATATTTGACTAAAATTACATTTTGCCAAATTTGAGGAAACAATTTCAGTGATTTCCACAAGTTTTTCTTTATGTGGAAAATTTTTGTCTCAAAATTTTTGTGGATATATGGTAGTTCCCTGTTTATCTGTGGTTTTGCTTCCCATGGTTTCAGTTACCCTTGGTCAACCATGGTCTGGAAGCAGATGGTCCTCAAAATGTTAATAGTAGCTTAACACTAGGTCATAGTACCTACATCATTCATCTCACTTCATCTCAACACAGACATTTTATCATCTCACATTATCACAAAAAGAAGGGTGAGTACAGTACATGAAGATATTTTGGGAGAGAGAAAGACCACATTTACGTAGCTTTTATTGCAGTATATTGTTACAGTTCTGATTTATTATTGTTGTTAATCCCTTTCTGTGCCTAATTTATAAATGAAACTTTATCATAAGTCTGTAGGAAAACTTAGTATATATAGGGTTTGGTATTACATAGTTTCAGGCATCCACTAGGGGTCTTGGAACATATCTGCCACAGATGAAGGAGAACTACTATATACATATATAAAATGTGCAGAATTTGCTTTAAAGTAGAACAAATACATGTGAAATATGCAACTGAATTTTTGAGAGTGTTATTTCTTACAGATCTATCACATCATTTAAAATAAATATTGTATAATCTAGTTGAGTGGGTATCAGTGTTTTTAGGTGAAGGAGGTCTGTAATAATCTGGTGATTGATTTCCTTCTGTTGCATCATCGACCATGTGATGAAATTATTATTGCTTTGAAAAATAAAATTATATTGATTTTAGAAGAATTTATAGTAGAGTATTTCCACAGTGTCTCTAACTGAAAACTTGTAGTGCTTTGAAAATTTAGCTGTGTTGTGATATTTGAATTGAAAAACAAGGATTTCCTGAAATTTATATTCATATCTGTTGCACCTTCGAGATGCCTGATGCCAAATCAGGTATGGACACCTGGATGAAAGATGTTTCTCTTCAGGTGTTTTTTGTGACCTTGTAGATAGCAGAGAAACGCTGTACATGAATACCAAAACATGACACACAAATCTGAATTTTAAATCCTTTTTTACGTACTAACTGGTGCTATTGGTGTACAGATTTCATGGTGCTATTGGTGTACAGATTAGAGGTTTCTTGAGGATCAGGACTGTGAGTTGGCATCCTGTTGTGTATTAATGTCATGCAAGTGTGTGTGCATGTTTGAAGATTAACATGCTAATAAAAGGAGATATATATATATATATATATATTTATTTATTTTTCTTTCACTTCAGGAAGCTCTCTGGTAGATGAGGGCAGTCTTTCAGATATCTAATCTAATTAGTAATCTAATTCTTGATGCCTAAAATTTCAACTTTTCTGTGCTGGCTACAAGTTAAAAGCAGCAAAAATTTCTCTGACGTGATTAGGGCCTGTTTTTTTTTTTTTTTTTAAACCAATTCAGACGATAAAAATAATGGTTTACTGCCTTGAGTAGATGCAGTCTTTTCTTTTGAGTAGATGCAGTATTTTCTCTTGTCCCCTGAATACCGCCTTGGGCAGTTTCAAAAAGGAGAAAGAGTATATGCATGTTTGAGGTCTTTCCAGGCCAAGGATGCAAATTTGATTTTTGATACAGCCTTTTATTAGGTAGGGAGATGGAGTGTGTGTATGTGTAATTGTGGAAAAACCACGATTCCAGAGGTATGTCATTAATGAAAAATAATCAGGTTGTATCAGAAATTGTATTCATCTTGCAACTGGTGATAAAATTCAAAGTTTGGTTTAAATGGCTTGTTTTGTATGGGAGACATGCTGCTAGGGATCCCATTAAATGTTTAAAAAAATACACTAAGGTGATTTTTGGGACAGTTCAAATTGGCCTTCGTGTAGGAATCAATAGTGAAACTGTTTAAAATTTCACCAAGAAAATGCAGCACAAAAGTTTGGCTGGCAACTTTGACCACACAGGATTCATTCAAGCAAGAGTACTGCAAATCAGAGTCAATGTTGTGTTTTCTCAGGACATGTGTGGGTGACCCTTAGTATTTTAAGTCGGAAATTTTTTATTAGTTAAGTAGTTCCAAAGAGTCATGTGCTAACCTCCTTTTGCCCATAAATTACAGGTATTTTCGTTGTGAGGCAGAACATTTTTGATCAAAATACTTTCTTGGGATTAGGGTTAGTTACAGGACTCTGGATACAGGTTGTCTGTGTTCAGCACAGTGGCTTTGCTCCTTCTTGGTGGTGTGGCCGTGAGCCAGTTATTTCATTGCCTGGATTCCCCAGTTTCCTCAACCGCAGTATGGGGTTAATACTAGCACCATGCCTGTGGGGGTTGCTGTGAGAGCTAAGTGTAAAGTCTCAGAACAATGCTCAGCATAGTGAGCTAAAAAACTATGTGCTGGTCCTCCCAGCAGCGGTACTAGGCAGCACATTCAAGATGAACCGGCTGTACGCTTTGTTTCTTCCCTCTGGGGGCTTTCTGTTAAAGCATTGGAATTCTTGATTTACAATCACGGACTGTTGGACTC